GTCATTTACTGCTGCAGAGACAAAGTCATTTGGAGGGACTGACTTCCGCAGGTTTTCCATGACAGGAGCAGAGGAAACAGCTTTTGCTCTGCACCATCCCTATTATTGCTGGTCACCTCGTTCCTGGTGACCAGGGCCGTGTGTGCTCTCCATGCAGCCCGCAGTGATCCCAGTGTTCTCAGAGCACAGAGTGTGCTCCCCATCCAGGCTCTGACTCAGAAGGCTTTCAGGCAAGCACAGCTCACAGGAGTATCCCCAGCCCACTGCCAGCAATGACAAATCAGTTTTTAAATGTTGTGTATGTGCCTCTCCCCCTCTCCGGCTCAAATCAGCTCTAAAACTCTGACTTCCAGTCCTTTCTAAAGGGCCCTGACATGTCCTGGGGCCCAGATCTGTGCACACGAGTGACTCTGCACACATGAACAGTCCCTGGAGTCCAACCATGTGCAAAAGGCTATTTGTGTGCCCAAGTCCTCGTGGAACGAGGGCCTTGCTCTAACCTGTCTCATTTAGCTGTCAGCACAGCAGTGCCCAGTTTGCCCAGCAATTATTTCCTTGCCATCTGATGCAGGGTTTAGGTGCTATCTGATATGTTCCCCCAGCCTCCCCCTCCCCTGTGCCCAAGAGGGATCTGTGGATCCCTTGATCAGACATCACAGTGATGTGAGCTGTCACTGTGTGCGACACCAGACATGGCCCATCTCACAACCACCTGGGAGGGCTTTCTCAGGGATAGCTGCGGTGCCCAGAGCATGCCTGAAGGAAGACTGTTACAATAAGCAACAGAGATTAAAAATAGTTTTTCTCCATGCTCACTGATGGGCCTAAGCACAAACCATCAGGCCTTGTGTGGGAGGGATCTCCCTCTGCCAAGTGAGATGGAGTCAGAAACCACCTGACCGGGAGGTGAGGGGGGTCACCCATTACCCTCTGCCTGGGGATCCTCCTGTCTTTAATGCTGGCTGTGCTGCAAAATCAGATTATCCCAGGAAAAACAGTTTTCAATATATTTTTCCTCCCTGGATAATGTATCAGTCAACCTTTGCCATTCCACTCCCAAGGATTTGTGTGGTTGTGCTGTGTTTGCGGTTTTCACTGGCAAGAGCAGAATGTTAAAGTCTAAACTGAAGGTAAGATTAAGCTCTCAGGGTAGAAATAGTGCAATGAGGCTCTGGGGGCTCTTCCTGGGGGCATCTTTAGCCTGGTGATGCTGTGTTCTTGTCTTGCTGCAGCCAACTCGTGTTGGCAACACCTAGGTGAGGGCAGGAACCTGACAGCAGATGCAACACATCCCTTCCCAGGAGGAGCCCGTCCTTCTCCCTTGGTTTACAGAGGGGATGTTGTGCTAAGATCTGTTTGTAGCTCTGCAGGAGGCAACAAGGTCTCCCAAACCTGCAGCATCATCACTGCAGCACCTTATCCCAACCCATGCCAGAGTTAGGGAAGGATGCTGCACCAGGCAGCAGTGTTATCTCCACTGGAATGGCAGGGACAGCCATGGCACTGAGGCCTTCCCTCGTGGCTGTTTGCCAGGCTGCTCGTTCCTCCGCAGAGCTTTGCCGAGGTAATGACACGGCTCAGGACTTATTTTTAACTCTGTGACCCTTGAAGCCCTAGAGCAGGACCAAAATTATTTAAGTAGGGACAAGGGGAATGTTATTTTAGGCCTGGGCATTGTAGCTGGAGCCGTGCAATCAGAGCTCATCAGCTTCAGCAGGACTTGGCCCAGCAGTGGGGGTCCCCCAACCCCCCCGGGCAGGTTGTAGGTGGACAACAGAGAGATATCTGTCAAGTCTGGGAGCTTTTATATAAAGTGCAGAGTAGCTGTGAAAGCTTTTCAGGTGTGAGACATATTTGATTCAAGCCATAAACCCAAAATGGAACACAAGAAAACAGTGAATATTCACTCTAAAAAGAAGGCGAAGCACTGCAGCTCAGCTACACAGAGTATTGAAATGATGCTTTTCTGGGGGGTGTCAGCAGGGGGTTAACTTTGCCCTTCCCAAGCCAGATCACTCCTGCCTGTTTCACAGCCCCTGCAATCAATCCTACTTACTTCCCACCAAGCAGGAGACCTGCACACAACGCCCCAGAAGATTCAGTCTTGGTACAAGAAGAACAGCATCAACCTGCAGCCCAGGCTGCCCTGGCACCACTGATGGGTGGGAATGGGAATCCAGAGCTAAACAAAGGTTAGGGAGCAGGACTGTGGAAAAGGAGGAGATGCACTGCTGGGCACAGCCTGGTTCTCTCTGCAGGAAGCTGTTTGCAGCATCCCAAAACCTTCTTAAGTGCATGAGTCTCCTCAAGTATGCACAACAAATACACAAGTGGAGAAGATCCCTTTCTTCTCATCCAACACACCCCGGGGCTGTCCCCAGTTTTGCCTCTAAAAACTGAAGTCAAAAGGGACCAGGAGAGGTTAAGAATATTGTGAGGCCTTCTGCCAGTTTGGCATTTAGTGTCCTGCTGTAGCACAACCTGACCTTTTCCCTTACTGCTCTCTCAGTTTTGGCCTCAAACCTTTCTTTCCCAGTGCCCTCAGCTCTGGCTCTGGTGTGGCAGAAAGGGCACAATCCGTGTTTATATGAACCCTCTGTCACCTGGAGGCAGCGACCAGATGTGTGTGTGGCACAGGAATTTCTCCTCCTGTCCTCCATGGGGTAGAAAAGCTCTGAAATTACACTTTGCTTATTCTTTTCTTCAGCTCCCAAAGCCAAAATAAACTTTGGGAAAGAAGTAGCTCAGAAGTAAAACCAGAATAACTGGAAAATACTTTTCTTTCTTTTAGCAAAACCAGTGTCAAGTATTATAAAAGCCCCTGGGCTCCATTGCTATGGGGTCAGAACAGCAGCTCAGGTCTCAAGCCAGTTCTCTGGCTTTGACTCCAGACCCTTCCAACAGCGTCACACTCACGAGAGGTACAACTCAGGCCTGTTCAAAAGGCCAGCTCGAGACACCAGCTGAGCCCCTCTACACCCTAAGAACAACTGAAGGCTTAAGAGAAAAGAAATAAAGGCTTGTTTCAAGCCTAAGTCGAAGCAGCACCTGGCTGAAGTCACAACATCAGCAGCCCAGAGCAGATCGCGGGAGGAGCAGTGTCATGGGAGAGCTGCACGGGACCCAAACCACCCTCAGCTGGCAAAGTAAATGACACCTGACAAACATATTTGAAGGTGTTGGCCATTTTTTGGATCATTTTTGCAAAGCTCAGCACATGGTCTTAAGAGAGTGTGAAATACCAGTAACTCGTGCCAAAGCCCAGCCCATGCTCAGGGGGAACTGGTTGTGTTTAGAAACCAGAGGGCACTCAAAGTGCCTGGCAGTGTCTCCTCCTGCAAAGTTTGGGACTTTTCCTGTTGATTCTCAGCTAAATATGGTGCTGCTCCTTGCACATTCCATCCTGAACGTGTTTGGGAATAACAGTACTTCCTACAAGAAATGGGAATTGCAGGGCTGGAACCCACCAGTTGTTTTGCTTCCCCAGCATTACATGGAATGGCAGTTTGTAGGTAGGGCCATGATAACAATGTCCCACAGATCCACTGGAAGGAGTTTGTGTTGGTCAAACTCCAACTTCTTATTCTGCAAAGGACTTTGGAGATAGAGCTACAACGTCATCAGTTATGCAAAGCAGGGGGCAGTGGGATGGATCTCTCTCTCTGGTGGCCAGGACTAGTTCAAAGTCTCAGCCAGAGTCTAGAGGAAGGGTCAGTGCCTCTGAAGGGAGTCCAGCAATATTCTGCCTGGGCAGGATCCCCTCTGGAAGGACTCTGTGGTGCTGTGAGATTATCCGGCCTCCCCGGAGTTACTGGGGGAACTCAAAGGGCTCATGGAAGAAGCCAGATACTCCAAAGGGGGAGTGATTCACTGATGCCAGGCCATGAGCAATTTACTGAAGTCCAGCAAAAAAGAGATGAGAGCTGAGAGGTGGGAGGCAGGAAAATCACTGTTTCATCCAGTTGAAAAGTTAAAGCCTAGTGTTTCTCTCTTTGTGAGATATGTTATCTCCCTTCCCTGCTGCGAATAATGCTTGTGCTGTGAGCCCACAGAGGGATTTCTGGCTTATCAGGTTCAAGGCAAAGGAGAAGATAGACATTTGAAGAGCAGGAGGGGAAAGAAAACATACAGCTTTAATGTCAGAGCTTTGGAAATGGAGATCCTTATCTAAGCCTGTTTTCTCCTCTTCTTGATTATGTTACTTTGAATTTGGACAAGGAAACCAGCCTGGCCAACCTCACTTCTGGTTCTTCTCAGTTTCACTTTCTGAAAATTATATCATCATAGAGGTACACTCAGATACTCTCTGAGGACACTTGCACAGTCAGGAGACATTTCTTGGGCCAGGAGATGATGAGAGAGACCTTTATCCCTACTGTCATTAACAACCACTGTCACCTGTGACCTGACAAACCTTGCCACACCAGTGGTGTCCCAGACACCACTGCAGGTTCCCCTTGGAGCAGCCACGATGCCCACAAAGCCAGCAGCCCTTGGCTCAGTTCAGATCCAGTATTTGGGAATGGTGATTTGGGAATCACCAGGCTTTCGATTCCACAGTGGTGAATCAAAGAGCTGCTCCCCAGAATTATTGTTTTCTCTTCTCCCATTGACTGAAATGTAACGTATGAGCTCACACATCAAATTATTTCCCAAAGACTTCCTTCCACTTTTATAGGTGTGTAAAATCCTTTCAACACAGATCTGTTTTCCTAAATCTGCAATAATTCAGTAATAAAGCTGCCCCTAAACACAAGAAAAAAAAGACTGTCAGCAGAAACACAGCTGCTTGGTGTCAGAAAGGAGATGAGTAAAGGACAAACTGAGGGCATCTCCCAACTCCATTCTCACTGAACTGCACCAGTATAAATGCAAGCACTGTGTGGGCTCCCAAATTAGGAACTATTTACAAAACAAAAAGCTCGCCTCGAGTGCATTGTGCCTGGTCTGAGCCCGTGAATAGCCTCGTCTAATGATGGTTGCTTCTTTATTTGGGTCAGGTTTTGCCGAGGAAGAGCTTTTCCAGAAACCAGTGCTGAGCATTGCGAAGGACCACGTTGTCCTCTCACCAGGAGACACCCTAAAAATAAAATGCAGGTAAGGATTGTCCCAGCACTGCTGGATTTCTCTCGTTGTGTTCATTACCTTGGACCAGAACAGCTTCTGGGCAAGACAGAGCAGAGGGAACCAGGGCTGTTTGCCCTCACGTGCATTTCTGCGTGTAGGGAACTGGATGGGCTGTAACAGAGCAGGGGGAAAGTGTCAGATCAGCATTCAGCCTGCCCAGATTCTTTGTGTTGTAAGGGGGCCCAGCAAAATCCTGAGTCAGCACACAGGGGAGCTTATGGGAGAGGGATGTGTTGTGCTTAAGGACATGACTGGAAAATCCTCTCTGCAAATAGGGGCAGATTCAGCTCCTCTGCTGCCAAAATCATTCTTTTGCTCCCTGTCTATAAGGGAATGACAAACAAGACCACTAGGGCATGCCATTATCTCTTTGCATACACACACACACATATATATACACATATGAGCTTAAACTTCCTACCCTCAAATACCATCTAGCCCATAATATGACAGTTAAATAAGCAGCAGTCAGTATGTGTCCATTCAAAGACCTGACCTGTTTAAACAGATCACGTTCTTTAAATCAAAGAGAACCAGGACTTGTGAAAAACCAAGCTGCTCATATTGTAAACCATGGCAACTTTTCAGTTCTGGCACAACCAACCATGCAAGGAACCAGTACAATTTTGGTAATGGCATATGTTTAGAGGGAGAGGATCCTCTGGAAAGGGGAATATAGTGTTTGGTCACAGCTGACTGGCACCCACAGCACTCTCTGCTGTACCAGAACATCCATCAGCTCCTCGGTCACACAAAAGGCTGAGATGGACGTAGGTGTTACTTGTTCTGAGTGTGATTTTTACACTAAACCACTGCCAGAGGTTGTTTCTTAATTTTTCTTCTGAGAGTGTTGTAGGAGAGAAGCCTTAAGGTAACACAAACTATCACAGTTTGTCTCTCACACACATTTTTACACCTTCTTGCAAGGTCCCCTTGACTGTAGCCACTACATGGAAGGTTCCATGAAGAAAAAGCAGTGGGAAGGTCAATCTGAGCTGTATGTTATACTGACACATTTGTCCTCTCTGATTTTTGTCCCAGACTATTTAATTCTTTGTTACAGTGGAAGGTAAATTGACTCAGACTGTGTAAATTTGGGATGTCTTCTGGAGTGTAAGGCAGTTTTTTTCCAAATACCTCCAGCTAGCCATGTGGCTTACGAGGTCAAAACAACCTTACAGTGGTATTTTTAGCTTGGCAAGCAAAAAACACGATGGCAATAAAGTTTGAACAGTCCTTTAAAATCTAGATGCTCTACTTCATAAAACACACTGTGTGGGCACAAGGTCGGTGTAGAGCTCCAGGCCAACTAAATCAAGACTTTTCAGCAGTTCCCCATCCACTGCCTTTTTAATCTGGAGGAACATCCTACTTTTCTTATATCACCAGATGAATAAATAGTTGAAGAAGTTATTAGCACTTCAGTCCCACATTGCTTTATGGATGCAAAGCAATAAATCCACATGGCAGGTGTGAGAAACAGCAAGCTGTGTGAGCACAGGGCCGAGCTCACGTGGCACTGGGGGCCCAGAGCACTCCAGCTCCTTGGGTCAGCTCATGCAAGAGCTGGGAACGAAAACTAAAGTGTGTTTTCTGCACTTTGAGTGCAAGATTCCTTGTATCATCCTGCCTGTCATCCTGCCTCCTCTGCCACACCAGCATCTGCACACTCACAGGTTTGCTCCGAACTGGCCCACAGGGAGCTCAGGAATCCTTTGTATTCCAGGGGCACTGGGGCCGTGTGGGGCGTGGCACAAGGTAGCAGACCAAGCAGGTCTGTGTGAACATCCCTTCTCCCTTAAACTCCATACATTTGAGGTTCTTGGCCAAGATTTCCTGATTTTTGGTAGCCTGGCCAAAGCTACTGCTGCGACTCCCCTCTGCCAGATGTGTGAAAATCCCAACGCAATAGCCAAAGTCTTCATCTTCCACCAGGATAAAATATGCAGAGGAAAAAGTGGGCAGATGTAAGGAAGTCTGGCGTGTGAAATCCCAGTTGTGCTCTGCACAGCCACAATTGCAGATTCCCAGCCTCGAGGGACACCAGACTGGGGGATGGAGAGGGGCAGGGACATGATGACATGCTGGGAGCTTTGTGTCTCCATGTCAAGTGGCATTGTTCCATATTCCGGGCCAGGAGTCCCAGTTCTGGACAGTGGAATCTTTACACCACTAATGACGTCGGTGAGGTGGGGACAGAGCTGGGCAGAGACATCAAAAACTAACCCCGTGCTCGGAAGGACAGGAAGCTGCTCTGGCGGATGAGGTGGGGTTGGCCAAGTCACCACTGCATCCAAAAACGAGGGTGAGGCTGTTCACCAGAGAGGATATGCACACTTTTCCCAGTGCTCTCCTTCAGCAAAGTGCTGGGAATAACCTCAAGAGTTCAGCCCCATGTCTCCTCACCTCCAGGAAGGCGTCAAAAAGACGGGCAGGAATGAGGGCCAAGAGGATGTTTGTTTAAGTGTCGCTGACTCTGCTGGCAAACACACTCCCACACTGCACCTCGTGTACCACTACAGGGCCATTGGAGCAGAAAGAGGAGTTGGACTTCTTGGCTAACTGGAAATTTCACACAGCCTGCTTGTCAGATATTTATTAACATCTTGATCCTGAGTCAATGTGTCTAGACCGGATTTCTCCCTGGCAACACTCAGATGGGGAAATCCAGAGGTTCTTACTCCTTGATCAGCAAATGCCAGTGGGAATTCACTGAGGAGAAGGGTTGAGTCAATCCCCTGCCCTCTGGAAGAGTGGCTTCTCTCTGCAAACACAGACAGAACTCCCCCTCTCTCATACAAACATTTTCCCCAGAAAAGTCAACGGGTGATTGCCCTCTAACCCACCAGTTTTCTAAGCACTAAAGACCAGTCTGCTAAAAAATAATCTTCATCTCATAGGCCAAAGAGAGTTCCAAGAGCTCCCACTGCCATGGCATGGCCTGATGCCTCCAGCCCAACAAGACCAGCACAGCCAGTACCTGTGACTGAGCTGACTTAAATCAGCCCAGAGCTCTGAGTCCTGCAATAGGTGACACGTGGGCCTGGCTTTGTGTTGTGAACTCCATGGAATTGCATTTTCCACGGGCTGTGCTCATGGATCTGACAGCAGAGGGGTCAGGTGGGTGGAATGGTACAACCTCTGCCCTGCTGGCTTGGTGTTCTTGGCTGCTGTGAAAAGGTGAACTGGAAAAACTGTGTCCTGAGCAGGTATTCCAAGATCTGTGATCTGATTAGTGTCAGGCCCTTCACAGAAATCAAGACAGAGCCACTGCTGATTAAGCAAGAAAGGTGATGTGAAGTTACATAAATGTTCTTCTCTCTCCATGCAGCCTTAGTGTAAGAAAATATACACTAATTTAGCTGTTAAAATATGCAAAGTCTTCAGCTTGGAAGAAACATATAATTTTATCTGATGCTTTCTAATGTTTGAAGTGGCTAAAATATAGTGTTATAAAGACAAACTTGCGTTCAGGCAGTTTGTTAGAAGAAAAGTTAAATTTTTCTCTAGGAGCTGACTTGCTGCAGTTCCCACTATTTCAGGAATCTCCCCTGCTCCAGGGAAGAGTGTGTGGGAACCCACCTTAATCCCTTGTGGGTGGAAAAGCAAACAGCCTTTACCTCATTTGGAAATGAGCAGAATAGGAACACTGGGAACAGTTGGCTGGCAGGAAGGCCAAATTTTGCTTGAAGTCCTGTTGACTTTTGGTGCATTGTGTTGCCAGGGGAGCCCTGTCTGTGAGCTGGGTGCTGAGGGGGGAGCACCAGGACAGCCCCCGGGTGCACAGGAGCAGCTGCCGCAACGACACCGGGCAGAGCTGCTCCGCCCTCGTCATCAGGAGGGTGGTGGCCAACGACACCGGGTACCTCACCTGCGCCCACCCGGCCCGGGAGGACCTCACAGCCAGGATCTATGTCTTTGTCCAAGGTAGGAACTGCATTTTTGCCTTTTGAATTACGGGGGTTTGGTACCTCCAGCTGTGTTCAGTTGTGGGGCCTGTGCCAGGCAGAACCAGCCACCCAAGGGAGATGCTCTCCCAGATCCCACCTCCCCCTTGGCACAAGCACTGAGCAAGCACCAGCTCTGGAATTCTGAAGAGGATGGATATATTTGGATTTTTGTGCCAGTTGTGTTCTCAGAGAGACAACTGTGAGAACCAGAGATTACCTGTCCTGCTCAATTCCAGGACTTGAAAGCGAGATTTTTTCCATCTAGTTTTGTGTTCCAAGTAACTGATACACTGACTTCTTTAAACCTCTTGCCTTTTAAGACTAAATTCTTTAATCCTAAAGGGTTTGGCTGTCACAGTGCTCTTCCTAAGACTCATCCTGAATGTCCAAGTCTTTCACTTCCTCCCCAGGCATGAAACTCCCTGACAACATTCTTTGTAATTCCTCCCATCCCACACATTTATATACTGCTTTGTCCTTCACATCCGGGAGACAAACTCAGCAAAGCTGGATGACTGCATCATACATATTCTATTGTAAAAAATGGCCCACTGCTCATTTTTGTCCCCTTCGAGCTGCCTCTCCCCCATGTGTCAGAATTACTGAGATCCAATAATAAATGGAAGCAGAAACTTCAGAGGAGGAACGTGGTCCTCTGTGACTAAGGGACTGCAGCCTACTGAACAACCAGTTCAAAAATGTGAATTTTTGTTAGAATATTGTCCCAAAATGCTGATTTTTTTTTTCCAGTCTACTTGACAAATGCATTACTAAACACTGAATCATCTTGGATCTTCCAAGATGAGACTGTGAATCCTCAGATAAAAGAGCTGACTTTTATTATGTTGAATAGGGGCTGACATGAACTCCTCTGGTGCTGAATAGTCTTAGCCTGTGGTTCCCCACTTAGCATTTGTATTCCCCACAAATACTCATGGGAACGAATTCATTTAATTTTTCTAGTAAATGCTAAATTGTGGTTCTTTGAATATGCTTCCTAAAACAAATGCTCAAGAGGCCATGAGTTTGTCTGATGGTATTTGAATAGCCCAGCAAACCCACACTCACAGAAAACACAAGTATTTGCTGGGCAGCTTTGACAGTGTAATGATGGTCAAACCAACACGAGGAGTGACTTTCATCCCCAGGGGACTGTGATGTGCCCACAGTGCTAAATTCAGCTCCTGCACCACCAGGTGAACACACCTGCTTGATTCATGTGGGTGACATTTTCCTGTCTCTTCACATCTGCTGAAAATAGTCCCTTTCTACCCTTATCCTGGTTTCCCAGCAAGTTTTCCTCTAATTGGAAAGTAGTTTCTTGGTGTTACTTGTTAGTGCCTGAAGTAATTTTTTTCTCTCACTTTCTATTTCCTCTTTCTGTTTTTTTGTTGGTGCTCTGAACCCTGGTTGCTTTATCCACTCTGGTTCTTGTGCTGAACTGCTTCCTTTTCGCATCACACCCTCTCAGATGCCCCACATGTAACATTGTTAACCCAGCCCTGTGCCCACGCTCCAGGAAACGCTGCACTGAAAACTCAATTCTCTCCTGATTCAGTGCCCTGGCTGCCTACCCAGGACTCGGTTACTCTGTGCAGGAGCACGTGCAGGAAATGTGATGGATCTTCTGGGACTGCCTGAGCATTTTCCTGAAGAAAACATCTCCAGTTATTAAATGCTCGCTGGTGAAGTGCTTTGGAACACAGCTAATCTAAAAAAATCTAAAAATATGGCAGGATGTCCTCCTGCTTGCCTGAGACTTCTGTGCCAAGGTCCCCCTGACAAACAGCACCGTGTGGCTGTTTCTCTAAATCTCCCTCCAGGACTGTCCTCTCTCGGGTGCAATTTAATTGTGTCGTGCATCCTCCCTGCTCTAAAGCTCTTACTCAGACTCATGTCCTTTAAAAGTTATTGAGAGAAAGTGGGTGGAAAATGGTCCAGCTTGAACTGTGCACTCCTTGGGTGAGGAGGTGAGAGAGGCAAGGCAGCAGGGATCCCTCTGGATCCTCCTGGTCCCTGTCCTGCTCACCCACCCCAAGGCACAGCTCTGCCACAGCAGCTCAGTCTGGGAGCTGCAAGTGCCTGCTGGGATCTGTCCTGCCAGGCTGAGGAAGCTGCTTGGCCCCATGAAATGGAGCTATTTATACCTCAGCATGGATGCTGTGCTCAGGGCATGCTCTTCCTCCCATTCAGTCCCTGTGTATATTTGTTGGAAGCCAGCAGGGGACAAGAAAACTGCTCAGCAGTGAGGGCTCCACGGGCTGTGGAGTTAAATAAGGCGTTCAGAACATACCTATGGTTTTCTCCAACATTTTAACACGACTCTTTAAGGAAATTGCTGCCTGGGCATCACTGAGAAACCCATCAGTTGTCTCCAAGTGTCCTCTGTGAGTGCCAGATAAGGGTGAGGTCCAGGGCACATCTCTCTGGACGTTTCATGGAGAGAGCAAGTGCTCAGCAGGGTGTTTGCGAGGCTGAGCCAGGTGGAGTGAGAAAATGTAGAGCCAGACCCTGAAGGCTGGAGAGTCCTCTGAAGTTACAAGCCAGTATTGCCAAAAAAGGCAGGGGAATGGTATTTTTCCCTTCATTCCTGGCCTGCCGCTTGACACTAAAATGAGAACATGATTGTATCGGAAGCCCTGCTTATTGGCTATTATTTCCTGTGCTTGCTGCTGTTTTTCCAGCCTCCCTGGTGCAGTTCCTCAGCTCTGTCAGGCTCTGGCACTCGGCAGCTCTCCCGCCGGTGCCGTGGAGCCGTGACCCTGCACATCACTGGGATCAGGAGGGACCCAGAGGCAGCAGGGGCAGCTGCCAAGCCTCAGCTGCACCCTGACACTCAGCAGCGAGGCACAACTCAGGATCTTAATGCTGAACAATTGTTCCCGAGGCCTTTTCTGCTTCCTGCTGCAGCTGCAAGTCCCAGGGATCGTAATTAAAAAGGAAGACAACCCCCTTCTCCTGTTGCCCGTCTCCTTACTGAAAATGCAGAGTAGCTCAGGGCTGCAACAGAAATAGTTGGGTGTTTTTAACTGCTTTAAGTTCAGCGCAGCTCCAAGGGATAATCTCTGCAGGGAAAGGCAGTGTCTGGTCCAGCCCTGGGCAGGCAGAGCAGCCAGACAGCTCTTGTGGCTGCTGTCAGAGCACGGGGTGGGTGGGGGAAGCCCCCCTCAGTGCACAGACACGCTGTCCCTGCTGACCCAGCTCTCACAGGGCGGTGAGGACAAGCCTTTGGTGCCCACAGAGGAGCCACGTCAGGGTGTCCCACGTGGGTGGCAGGAGCCCCCACATCAGGGTGTCTCAGGTGCTCGGCATCTCCACGGCAAATGCTGCCACAGCCACCCAGACATGTCCTCTGCTTCCATCTGCCTTCTGCAATCACCCTTCCCAACCCAACGGACACTTCCCTGTGAGGAAGTGTCCTTTATTCCAGCCTTTGGGATCCCTGTGCTAAAGGAAAGGGCAAACTCTGTGAAAACACAGACAATGGTTCCATCAGTGTGTTATCAGCTTTATTCTCACACTAAATCCACAGCACTGCACTGGACTAGCTACTAAGAAGAAAACTAACTCAATCCCAGATAAAACCAGGACAGCATCCACCACTTATTCCATATCATTTACATCATGCCAGGCCCCACATTTTCCAATAGCCCATTGCCTTTCCTGTCTTTTAATATATATACAGACAGATACCATTCTCAGCTGAAACCAGGACAGTAGGGCATATATACAATTTAACATGGCTTAGAGAAGGAGGAAGAAAAGATAAATCAAGCAAAGATTTGTTCCACCTTCCCAAAGGGCTATCTCAGGCCCCAGTCTAGACAGGAGTCAGGACTTGCAGCTCTCAGCTATTTGAAATACTGTTACTGTCAGCAAAGAACTGTCTCACAGTGCGAGTCCTGGGGCTGTCAGCTGGAAGAACTCCTGCCTCAGCCCACACGCTGCCTGAGCTCTGAGTTCCAGCCCCGAGCTCCGTGGCACAGTCAGGGCTTTGCTGCACCCTTTGTACCACTCCAGCAGGGCATCAGAGGAAGGAGCACGAGTCCATTTGGTTCTGATTCCCTCCACCAGCAACTCATCTGACTTTACTGCTGAGGTGACTAGAGCTGGTCATATCTTGCCAAATAGTGCCTGGAAAAGTTCACCCAGGTTTTCAAGCTGTGATTGCTGCCCACACCCCAAAAGCACTGCTTTGCTAGAGCTGTAGGACTAAAGGAGGCACCTCCTCGTCGCAGACATGGGCCAGCAACACACACCCTCTAGTCTGAAGCAGGGCTGTTATTCTCTTTCTTGAAATAATTCTGCTTGCAATAGGGCTGGTTCTCAAATGAGTACTTCAGAAACACAAGTCCCACCTCCTCTGACTGTAGTTGGCACAAAAAGCTGTGCGTCAGCCCAGGACACCAGTGCTGGCTCCCACAAGGGTCCGAGCACAGCAGGGGAGATTCCCCAGCTCCTATTGGTGCCAGTGCCTCACTCTCTGATCACAGAAACTGGTGAGCATTTTAACAGTCTCCCCACCCAGAGCCATCAGCTGCTGATGTTTCATCACCTCAGTGCTACCATGAGTCAGGAACACTGCAGGACCGAGGGAGCAATTTGCTTCCAGACATTTGGTTTTCAGCACTGATGTTCACAGGAGCACAGTGCACCCCGAAGATACCCCTGCAGAGAATTGAGTGCTAGCTCCTGTTAAAGCTCATGTGGACACCACGAAGGCACCAGCACTGCCAGCCTGAGCCACAGTGCAGTCCTGCCAGGAGTCCAGAGCACAAGGACTGCAAATCAAATCTGAAGCAAGACAGACACTATATGGGAGCACAAGTCCTGTTAAGGCCATTCTGAAGGAAAAAGAGGGTGCATCCCAGCAGCCTGTCCTGCTGGTCAGCTCCAGAAGCAAGGCATCCCCAGGGAAGGGCAGGAGCTCTCCCTTGCTACTGGAAAGAGTGAGGAGAGCTGGTACAAGTGCTGCAT